TACTGGTTAAAAATAAGCTGTTAGTTAAAAACAATATTAGTACCCTAGCCGGTTTGGCTCACTGGATAGAGCGTTGGCCTGCGGACTGAGAGGTCCCAGGTTCGGCTCAGGTCAAGGGCATGTACCTTGGTTGCGGGCGGGTCCCCAGTGGGGAGTGTGCAGGAGGCAGCTGGTTGATGTTTCTCTCTCATCGATGTTTCTAACTCTCTATCCCTCTCCCTTCCTTTCTGTAAAAAATCAATAAAATATATTTTAAAAAAATAAATAAGAAAGCTAATGATAACTGCTAATTCTTTATAAGTCATTTCATTCAACATTTAGAGGCAAAACATTCGGTATAATTAGAAATTGGGAATAATCCTGGACATCTTGTTTGTCTGGGACAACATGCTCGATATTTACTAATTAGGGCACACAATATGGTGAGCATAGGCTGCTCTTGTGCAGCAGACAATTAGCACAGCCGTGTGCAGAGAAGAGAGCCTGCCAATACTGTTTTGCAGGGTAAAAATGGTAAAAACTGGAAAAAGCACTAGACTTGGAGTCAGAAAAATTCCAATCATTGCCTCTCATATGCTAGAACATTAGAAAAGTTAGTAAATGCTCAACTAATATTTGCTGAAATTATAATTACCAACACTTCTTTTTAGAAAAAGGATATTCTAATATGGAAAAATATGCACCCTGAGTTAAAACCCATGTCACGGTTGAACCCTCTCAGTTATAATAGGAGATTATCACTAATGGCACATCTTGGTCCTCCACGAAAGAGGCAACTTTCGGGCATCAAGTGTGTTGCTGAGATTTTAAATGAACTAATGCTTGTGAGGGTATTGGTTCAGAGGCTAGAAGCTGTTTCTATAAAGTGAGCAGACAGTGATATTTCATCAGGAGGACCAGCCCTCCTGATATAAATATCATCACCTCAAATTTTTTGAAAGATAAATTTGTGTAAAAAGACAAAAACTTAAGAGAAAAGGGAAAATTTTTCTTAACTGTAATACATTTTTATTTCTATAAAACATCTCAAAATAATTTAAAAATTCTATGGGTATGACATTTGTCCACATGCCATACTTTTAGAAAAAAAGCAAGAGAGCAGGCATCACTTTTATATTACTAGAGAGAATCAGCACAGAGGCTGAGGAAATTAATGGTAGCTGTGGTTCAAAAAACCATGTCTCTGTGTTTGCTGTTTATTCCCCCAGTACAAACCTGGGCAGTAATAGCTGCATTTAATACAAGAGATGGGACACAGGCGAGAGGAGGTATCAAGGATGACTTTGGATGGTGAATGTGTGAACCAGATGGTCAACGGTTGTTTTTCTTCATCTAGAAAGCTTTCTTTCTAGAGGGCAAGGATGATCATGAGAGTCCCCCTAAGGCACACTGTAGAAATGGATTTCTTTGGGCTCAGAATGATCATTTTATTACGGAGAAGATAAGTAAGCATCCTTTAATTCTAGTATTTTTCTCAAGAAACATTCACTAGCTTTTTGCCAAGTGATCAGAAATCATTTAATAGAACAGTTAAGAAGAGTTCTAGATGACTTACTAACAAAAACTTTTCCTCAGTAGTTCAAAGAATGATAAACAGGGTGATATTCTTAATTCTACATTTAAGTTGGATTTATTGTGAATTGTCCCTTTTTCTTAGATTTAGATGCTCTGTAAGTCGGGACAGAAAGGAATAGCCTCCTACTACAAGCCCCCATAAAAAGAAGGGTGGGTAACAAATGATTTCCTTTGAAATGTAACAGCAAAAACAGGAGCTGCTGTAAGAAGCAGTCCTTATTAGTGTGTTCCCTTCCACTGCCAGAGGCAGAGAATAAGGAAATGAAGAAAAAACATGGACACTGACCATTCTATTATTAACTCGGGAATTTTCAACAATTCAATCTAGAGAAAGCCAATGGAAAAGAATAGCTATTTACCATTACACAGCAAAATGCAATTGGCCAAATAACTTTGGGTTAATGTTCAAGAAACGGGAAAATAAAGCAGTAATGGTAGCATCGTATCACATGTCTTATTCTTTTCTTTAATGGAGAACACAGACCCAAATATCCTAAGCCACATATCTCTCTAGCAGCTCAGAAATGAACCTGGTTTATATTAGTGCTTAAATGTGTTTAGCCAATGGGTTTGAGGATACAGAGTTTAAAAGTGTGAACACTGGAAGGAAAATATTTTATTATGAACTAGAGGCTTGGTGCACAAATTTGTGCACTGGTGGGGTCCAGCCGACCCACCCCCATGGGGGCCATGGGAGGCGGTCCAGCTGGGGTGGGGGCCAATTGGGGGTGGGGCTGGCCGGGGCGAGGGGCCGCGGGCATTCTGGTCGTTCAGTCATTCGGTCAATTTCCATAATCTTTTATTATATAGGAAAGGGTGTGGGGAATCAAGATAACACACCAGTTTGCTCTTACCCTATGCAAACACAAATGTAGCAATTAGAACATAGAGTAATCCACTGAAACAGTCAGAGCCCAAGAAGGAAATAATTCTTTACTACACTAATCCCATTTTTCCCCCTCACCCTTAGCTATTTTAATCAAGGTGCATCAAAACCCTCAAAAACATCACCCCCTAAATGGGACACTAAAACTCAGAACATAAAGATAAACCCCATGATAAAGCTGAAGTGGCACACAAACACTTCAGAACTTTCTTGATCAACTTTTAAATAGTATTGCTTTAGGGAGAAGATTTAATTTTTTAAAATATATTTCAAAAAGAAAGCACATTTAAAACTTCACATTTTGGTGATCGTGATAAGGTAATTTTACTACAAATTTTAGGATCTAAAAAATAATTTGTTACATTTACTAAGATAAATCTGAAATGATCTGTATCAAGCAAGTATGACCTGCATAGCGACACCGTGATCCTCAGGCATAAAATGACACTTCCCATCCTACTAGAGGTGGGATCAGCCAGATGAAAGAAAATTATGCTGATTCTCAACTAGTACATACTAATAGGATCATTCTGGTTTATCACACTGGCATTGGACTGTGAAGATTTCAGTGAAGAAGCCTGAAAGCCAAACTAGAACTTGAGGGTAACCAAGAAAGTCAAGCTTCTCTTTTCATACATTTTATTTCAATGATATTTAGGAGACTTTCTGTATTTCATAAGAGTTATAATTCAATTGGTCTGCAAGCCGAGTATAAAAACGCAGTAAAGGACTGCAAAGGAGCTAGATGGTCGACCAGTAACACTGAGGCCAGATAGTATAGGGAAAAACGCACAAGCCCAGGTTATAGACAGTGACCATCCCGCAAGGGAGATGCTGCTGGCAAGTAGCCATAAATTCAGTTGGGTGGCCATACACAAAAGAGCCGAAAGAGCTCCAGAGGTCATTTAAACCATTTTCCTGCTTCTAAATGAGACAGATCTCTCTCTTGTCAGTTAGTTGTCATAGCACTTATAGGCAGGGAGCGCCCCCCCCCCCTTTTTAAAGACTACTAAAGGCAGTATCTTTACAAGGTGAAGCTATAAGAAGCATCAGAGACTTGATAGGTACAGAGCAAGCACGCTCCATTGATCTTAGGAGAAACCTGGAGGTGAAGAGGAGGAGTGGGGTACCTGAGAAGCAGCTGTGACAAAAGAGGAGAATACCCTCACACTATAGGACTAAAAAGGTGGGGAAGAAAAGAAAAGCCAAAAAGGAATGACTGCAAACAGTTTGTTCACCAGAAAAGATGAAATTTCAAGGGCAGGACCGAATCAGTAGCTGAGGAGCACACAGTTAAGCCCTCTTGCCTGGGAACTTGTATCACAGATGCTCCTAAATTAACCCTCTCCCTCTAAAGCTGTGGCCTGTAAAGGGGAATAATTTTACTCCCAGGGACATTTGGCAATGTCAGGAGATATTTTTGGTTGTAACAACTGGGGGAGAGGTGCTACTGGTATTTAGTGGGTACAGGCCAGGGATGTTGCTAAACACAATGCGCAGGACAACTTCCTACAACAAAGAATTTTCAAGATATAATTAATGCAGAGATTGAGAAACCTGTACCAGAGGGAGTACTTTACTCTTAAGCTTCTCTTAAGATTCTTCAGAATCTACCATGAGCCAAGGCTTTTGGAACTTAACAGTCAGACAAACATGAATACCCTCTACCTCAAGCCAGAAATCTTCAATTATCCAAGAGTGTTCCACAAATGTCCAATCAGCTGCTGGCAGTTTAAATTCAGTCAATACAACTAAAACCTAATATCCTTTTTGTCTTATTTCTTTTCTAAAAAATGCTATTTCTTTCTCAGAGCCAATGCTACTCCAATTGCCACTGCCAGGATGGCAAAAGCGGCAGCCCCTCCAAACAACAGTATAGACTTGCCCTCAGACAATGCCATAGACTTCTCTTCTCCAGCAGGGTAAGACCCTTCCATAAGACTCTTTTTCCTTATAGTCATCTCTTCACTTAACAGTGTTTTTGTGGGTTCCAGTATAGGGATCATCTCCTCTCGTTCAATAGGTTCAGTTATAGCTGTTTTCATCTCTTCTTCATCAAGTTCTACAAACAATGATGTAGCTGGGCTGACTTTCTCAACTGCAGTCATTTCTGTGTCAGATTCTCTCATGCCCAGCAAGGAAGTGGCAGTGATATGTGGAAGCAAGGGAGCTGGGGCTTTAGGGAATGCCTCTTGCACCTCCCTGGTTGACAAGACTACAGATGCCACAGCAGCCTCTTCCGCACCCTCAGGTATTTCTTCTTTCTCAACATGCACAATGTCAGAATTAGAGGAATTGTTCTCACTCTTCTCTCCAGCCCCATTGCTATCTAAGCTTTTTACTTCGGGATCCATTGTGATCTGCTGCCAGGACTCAGGACCCAGGGACATTGGTAGGCTTTCTGTATGCCAACTCTGGCTGGCTGACAGGGAAATAGGTAAGCTCTCTGACTGCCAAGAAGTAGTCACAATTGGAGACTCTGGAGGACTGACTTGTCCAGAGTTGTCACTGGGCAGAATATAAATATCATTGCTATCTTCTGCAACAACTTCAGGGTATTCCTCCTCCTCGGACTCAAGATTAAAGACAGTGCCCTAGAAAAGGAGAAGGAGAGTCAATACAAATAATGGTAGATATATTTTAAATAAATGTAAATCTGGAACAAAAGTTATTTCCTAAACTGAGGTTGCAGGAATAAATACATTATTTAAACCTATACACTCTCTTGATTAAGTGCATTTACTTGTAGATCAATGCAGAGGAAGAATTTTTAACAAGATAGTCCTCTGAATAGTTTCCTTAAGGCTAAAAAATTTTAAAAAGTTAATTTATACTCAATTCAATTATTAATGCAAAATAGCAGAGAAAACAAAGGCAAGAACCTTGCTCTCAAGGAACTTATGACTTCATAGGGTACAAAAATAATGCTATCCTACAGTCAAAGTCTAAGTAAGAGTTCAGATGGGGAAATGATTTTTTTGGTAGAAGCTGGAGAGGGCAGGAAGATGACTGAAAGCTTCATGAAGGAAGCAGCATCTATATGAACATCTCAAGATTGGGTGGAAGCCACAAAGAAGATACAATAGCAGCAAAAGCATAGAAATATGTAAAGGGGGAATAGGAAGTAGATCAGTTTAATTAGCATAAAGTATACATAAAGAAGAATAGAAAGTTCAGTTAAGATGCACCGGGAGGAATTTGACAGAGAGCTAAGAAATAAGAAGTTTATTCAATAGGAAATGGTTAGTGAACTAAGTCTTTGAGCTACAAAACAATAAAGCTCCACTTTACAATTACTTTGACAGCAGTAGCAGAATGTAGGGACATGTGGGACTCTTGCTTTCCTCTTTTAACAAGAGTTCACACAAAAGCAAATAGTATCACTTTTCTTTTCCACATTTAACAGTTTAGTTTAACAGGATTCTCTTGCAGTGTTAGGCACTAGAGTTATAAGAACAATGAGACCCAATTTTTGTTCTTAAAAAATTCACTGATGCAAAAATTGGCATATGAATAACGAATTTCAATATGATATACATTTAAAGATAGGTGTATGCATAGAGTGCCAGGGGAACCCAGAGGTTAAGAAATAATGAAAAACACAGGAAGAGAAACCAATTGAGTGTAATGTCAAGAGATCAACAGGAAATTTTATAAAAAGTTTGGGTGGGTGCCACACAGAACTTAAAAGACAGAACCTAGACACAGAACCCAGAAACAGAACCTAGAGACAGAAGAACTTCGCTGGAGAGAACATGGCTGGAGAACCTAGACACAGAACTTGGCTGGAGAAACTAGACAGAACCTGGTTGAAGAACCTGGCTACAGAACATGGCTACAGAACCTGGCTGGCTAACCTAGCAAGAGAACATGGACATAGAACCTGGCTGGAGATCCTAACCAGAAGTTCGCTGGAGATCCAGACCAGAACTTGGCTGGAGATCCTGGCTAGCGATCCTGGCTAGGCTGCTGATCAACTGAATGCTGTCTCCGTGTCATTCCTTCTTTGCCGACTCCGTCCACACCTTTGGGGTCCCCTGGACCTGCTGGGGTTGGACCCCAGCAGAAATATATATATTAAAAAAAAACTGATTGCCTGGGGCCCGGCTGGCGAGGCTCCGTGGTTGGGTGTCGGCCTATGAACCAGGAGGTCACAGCTACATTCCCGGTCAGAGCACAGGCCTAGATTGCGGGCTTGATCCCCAGTGGGGGACGTGCAGGAGGCAGCTGGTCCATGATTCTCCCATCATTAATGTTTCTATCTCCCTCCCCCTCTCCCTTCCTCTCTGACATCAATAAATATATATATTAAGAATAAAAATAACCTGATCGCCAAAAAAAAAAAAAAAAAGTTTGGGTGGCATTCATAAATGCTCCAGAGAATTTAAATAGGATATGTAATTCCTATTTCATTCTGTGATTATGGCTGATGTAGACTAAATTTATTCTTCAATCAAGACCGAAAGCTTTCAGTGTTTACTAAGGGTCTAATATAAATCAGTAGTCCCTCTAACCACCTCACAAAAAAGAGAAAAACAGATACACAACTAAGCAAATCTCATGATCATAATGTCAACATTATAACTGCCCCACATTCTACCTCAATCCTTGCTTCAATGTCCTTAAGAAGTCCTGAAAACCTGGGCGCTGCAACTGCGGGAGCCACTGCTGGGCCTGCCACTTCAAACCAGGACCCTGCAACCACACAGCCTGCCACCAAGCCGGCCACAGCAGCCACAGGCCACATGTGACTCAAGGTCTAGATCAGCAGTTCTCAACCTGTGGGTCGACCCCTTTTGGGGTCGAATGACCCTTTCACAGAGGCCGCCTAAGACCATCGGAAAACACATATATAATTACATATTGTTTTTTGTGATTAATCACTATGCTTTAACTATGTTCAATTTGTAACAATGAAGCTGGGGGTCACCACAACATGAGGAACTGTGTTAAAGGGTCGCAACATTAGGAAGGTTGAGAACCACTGGTCTAGATCCTTTGGTAAGAGCAAAAATGGGGAGACAAAGTAAAAAATCCCAAAGTTAAGAAGTCACCAGGAAAGGTACTAAAGGAAACAGAGGCATACAATATGTCAGAAAAAGAATTCAGAGTAAGGGTCATACAGTTTCTAAATTGTCTGTATAAGAAAAACAACAACTTACGTAAGAATCATCAAGAGGAAATAAAGAGTGATATAGCTACAATAAAAAATACCATGGAGCCCTAGCCAGTTTGGTTCGAGCATCGGTCTGCGGACTCAAGGGTCCCAGGTTCAATCCTAGTCAAGGGCATATACCCTGCTTGTGGGCACATACCCGATAGGGAGTGTGCAGGAGACAGCTGATCAATGTTTCTCTCTCATCGATGTTTCTAACTCTCTATCCCTGTCCCTTCCTCTCTGTAAAAAATCAATACAATATATTAAAAAAAAAAAACACTATGGAATGTTTCAACAGTAGACTAGAAGAAGTGGAGGACTGAATTAGCAAATTAGAAGACAGGGCAGAAAACACATACAATCTGAACAGCAATTGGAAAAAAAATTAGAAAGCATGAGGAGAGCCTAAGGGAGTTTTGGGACAACATGAAATGAAGCAACATATGTATATTAGGGATGCCAGAAGGACAAGAAGAGCAGGAAGGATTAGAAAACCTATTTGAAGAAATAATGTCAGAAAACTTCCCTGATTTCGGGAAGAAAAACGACACACAAGCACAGAGAGTCACAAACAAGACGAACCCAAAAGACCCACACCAAGACATGTCATAATTACAATGGCAAACATTAATGACAAAGAGGGAATCTTAAGGCTGCAAGAGAGAGAGACAGAGAGTTACCTACAAGGGACCTACCATTAGATTATCAAAGGATTTCTCAACAGAAGGAGTATATCACTATCAAGCCAGCAATGCAAGAAATGCTAAAGGGACTGGTGTAAAAAGAAGAAATAGGAAGAGAAGAAGGAACACAGGCACAAAAAATAAAAATGGCAACAAACAAGTACCTATCAATAACCTTAAATGTAAATGGACTAAATGCTTTAATCAAAAGACACAGAGTGGCTGAATGGATAAGAAAACATGACCCATATATATGCTGTCTACAAGAGACCCACCTCAAAACAAGGGACTCACAGACTGAAAGTTAAGGGATGGAAAATTATCTTTAATGGAAATGAAAAAAAAGATGGGGTAGCAATACTTATATCTGACAAAATAGACCTCAAAGTGAAGGCCATAACAAGAATAAGGAAGGCAAGTTCACAATTCTAACGGGATCGATACAACAGGATATAACTTTGGTAACCATATATGCACCCAATGTAGGAGCACGCAAATACATTAAAAAAAAAAACCAAAAACAAACTTCTGGAAGATATCAAGGGAGAGACGGACAACACTACAATCATAATAGGGGACTTTAATATCCCAGTGATATCACTGGATAAATCCTCTAGACAAAAAACCAGCTAAGAAATAGAAATCCTAATTGACTTACCAGATCAGAAGGACTTAATTGACATCTTCAGAACATTTCACCCCAAAGCCATGAAATACACATTCTTCTCAAGTGCACATGGGACATTTTCAAAGATAGGCCACATATTGGGTCACAGGCAAAGCCCATTCAAATTCAAGAAGACTGAAATCATATCAAGTATCTTCTCAGACCACAATGGCATATTAGAAATCAACTACAATAACAATCAAAAAAATTCAAACACTTGGAAGCTTAATAGTATGCTATTAAACAATGAGTGGGTTACCAAAGAGATCAAAGAAGAAATAAAACCATCCTGGAAACAAATTACAATGAAAACACAACAATTCAAAATCTATGGGACACAATGAAAGTAGTCCTGAGAGGGAAGTTCATACCATTATTGGTCTACCTCAAAAAACAAGAAACACAACGGCATGGATGGAACTGGAGAGCATTATGCTAAGTGAAATAAGCCAGTCAGTGAAGGA